GATTTTAATTAGCTTTTTTTTTCTTTCTGGCAAGGTTGAATATTTTCTGTAAGTTTCTTGATCCCTGTGTTTCTTCTTCCATAAAATGATTTATTCATATCATTGTATTTTTTAAAAAGTGAAAATATTTGTCCTTTAATTTGTAGACTTATTAAAATGCATTCTGTATATTAATCCTTTGTTACCTGTATAACAAATATTTTCTCTTCTGTTGTGGTTTATATTTTCATTTTATAGAGTGTTTTGATGAACAGAAGTTCTTAATTTTAATGTAATGACATTTATTTCTCTTTTATGTTTTGTGCCTTTTGTGTCTAGTTTAATAAATTTATTCCTTTCTCAAAAATCATTAAAATATCTTCCATCATGTCTTAACATCTTAAAGTTTTGCCTCTTAACATTTACGGCCTCAATCTTTGTGGAATTAATTTTTGAATATGATGAGAGGTAGGGATCAAATTTCGTTTTCTCTTCCAATAAAGGTAATTAATTTTACTTACAATATTTATTGACTTGTCCTTCCTTTTCTTAAAATATGCAAGGACAAATGTTAAGTCTTATGTATTTATGTGAGTCTTTTCTTATTGCTCTTTTTGTTTCTCCTGGCTTCTTTCTATCTATTCATTAGTACTACACTGTCTTGATTAATATTAGTTAATAATTAATACTACTATATGTTCTTACCTTGTTCTACTGCAGAAATACTTTTACTATTTTTGGCTGTTTACTTTTCCCTATACATTTTAGAATAAAGTTATCTGTTTTCATGAATAACTCTATTGGGATTCCAAGGTGGTAACACTATGGAAGTAGATTGCCCAACCTTCCTTCTGAGGAGTGGCTGGTGGGTTTGAACCACCAACCTTTTGGTTAGCAGTCAGATGCCTTAGGCACTATGCCACCAGAGTTCCTGACAACCCTATAGGTAAAGTGGAACTGCCCCACACATTTTCCAAACCTGTAGATCTTTATGGAATCATACTGCCACATCTTTCTACTATGAAGTGGCTGGTGGGTTCAAATCGTTGACCTTTCAGTTATTAATTGAATGCTTTAGCCACTATACCACCAGGGCTCATTTGATTAATAGATTAAAATACCAAAAAAAAAAAAAAAAAACACACTGCCGTCAAGTCAATACCAACTCATAGCGACTCTCATTGGGTTGCCTAGGTGGTAAATCTTTATGGAAGTAGATTGCCTCATCATCCTTCCACGAATTGCTGGTGGGTTTGAACCAAACCAACCTGGTTAGCAGTTAAATATCTTAGGCACTGCACCACCAGAGCTCCTTGATTAACAGATTACTATTTGAAAACTTGATACAGTCCAGGAACATATTATATTTCCCTATTAAAAAAGATTTTTTTTAAATATCTTTTAAATGTTATTCAATATACTTTAAACTATTTTTTTTTTTTTCCCCCAAAGAAGTACTGCATTTCTAAGATTCCTTCTTAGGTACTTTATAATGTATTTTTTTTGAATTTGTTTATTCTAGGAGCTCTCGTAGCATAGTGCCTAAGGCACTTCATTGCTAAGGAGAAGGCTGGCAGTTCAAACCCACCAGACACTCCATGGAAGGAAGGTTGTGCAATCCGCTTATAACAACAAAAATATTCTCTAATTGGAATAGAGATTTGTAATTGGATTTTGTTTATTACCTTTGAATCATGCCAGATATACTAAGGTGTTTTTTTTTTTTTTTTAGTAACAAAGAACTCCAAAATTTCAATTCCTTAATATAACAACAGCAATACATTAAAAGTTTATTGCTCGCAACGTGTCCAACAGGGGTCAGCAGAGAGAACTGTGATCCACGTGTTCTCAATCTGCAAAAGAGGCTGACAGAGCAACTATCTGGTCACAGGAAAGTGAAAGAACGAACATGGAAAATTGTACATGGTACTTGTATTTTCACCCAGCAATGGTGCATGTCACTTCTCACATTTCGTTAGCTAAAGTAAGTCATGTGGTAACCCCTAACTTGACAAAGCATCAAGAAATATATGCCTGTAATAAAAGAGAGCCACATAAACTTGGTGAACAGCACTAATCATAAGTGCACCTTCTCTCCAGTTACCTAGTTCAAATATTTGTCTTTAGATTGTCAATTATTTTCCAGTACTTATATTTTTGAATTTATTTTCCTTATTTTATTGTATTGGCTAGTAAAGCATTGACTAGAAGCAATAATAGTGAGTGTCCTTCTCTTCCTAATTTAAACAAAAATGGTAATTATTATGATGTTAGTTATTTTTGTAGAAGACATGCCAAATTAAACAAGTTTCCTTCTATTTCTAATTTCTTAAGTACTTTTGTCTTAACTAAACAATGAATATTATATATACATATAATGAATATTATATGTATATATATATATGGTGGTCCAGTGCCTAAGACATTTGATTGTTCACCAGAAGATTGGTGGTTCAAGCTCACCAGTCCCTCAATGGAAGGAAGCTATGGCAATCTACTTCTGTAAAGATTTACCTCCTTGGAAACCTGATGGGGGTTGCTGTGAGTTGGAATCAACTTGAAGGCACAGTGGATATATACCTATATCTATATCCATCTATCTATCTATCTAAAATAATGATATGGATTTAGTCTTTTAAATTATTTTACAGTGAATTACATTAATATATTTTCCAAATAAGACCAATTCTGCATTGCTAGAATAAACTCAAGGTAGTCAAGAGATTTAATATTTTTACACTTTTCTGGATTTAGTTTGCTTATGTTTTATTTAGAACTTTTTTTGAGTTTTTATTTGTAAGTGAGATGGACATGTACATTTTCATATTCTCCTGTTTTGACTATCAAGTCTGTACTGTTGTTGTTGTTGTTGTTATTTGCCGTCAAGTCGGCCCCGACTCATAGCGACCCCTCCTTGGGTTTCTGAGGCAGTATCACTACGGAAGTAGGA